CTCCAATCATAACACTACCAGTTGGAAGGAATCCTGGTATTGAGAAAAAGAAAAGAAGGTCAAAATTAGAGACAGCAATTCCAGTTTTCAATGCAAGCAAAGACAATAGGGTGGCAAGTGAATCAGTTGGGGATAATGGGATCGCAAACTATAATAGAGATAGAATGAAGCAGGAGTCAAATTCAACATTAGAAATTTGGAATTTTGCTAAGAAAATTAGGGTGGTGGCAAAAGGAAACGAGGAAGAAGTAGTTCAGCAGATTGAAAGAATGGAAAGAAGGGACAAAACAGGAAAGGAAACAGCGACAACAAAGGATACAGCTAATGGGAATGCAGGTACTACTAACCTTCAATGATTTTACTATCATTTAATGTTAGAGGACTAGGGGGTGGTGGAAAGAAAAAGGAATTAAGGGAATTGATAAAAAAGGAGAATATTGAGTTTATTGCAATTCAAGAATCTAAGCTTGAGATTGTAGATAGAAGATTATGCAGAAGTTTATGGGGTTTTGAAAATATGGATTGGTGTGCTAAACCATCAATTGGACAATTTGGTGGACTTATTTGCTTGTGGAACTCAGATGTTTTTAAGAAACATAACATGTTTGAAGGGGATGGGCTCTTTGGCGTCTTTGGTTTTTGGGGACCAGAAAATATCCCAGTGTATCTTGTCAATGTATATGCACCATGTGAGTTGCAAGGCAAAAGAAAGTTGTGGGAAGATCTAAAAGGAGTGATACAACGATAGAAAGGAAATTGGTGTGAGATGGGTGATTTCAATGCAGTTAGAAATTCCCAAGAATTTACGGGAAGTAAGAGGCAACAAGGTGAGCTAAGGGAGTTTAATGAATTTATCATGGAAACGGAATTACATGATCTGCCACTAATTGGAAGGAAATTCACATGTTATCACTCCAATGGGATTTCAATGAGCAGGCTTGATAGATTCCTTGTCTCAGAGGAATGGCTACTTAATTTGGGAGACTGTAAACAATGGGGCCTTAAATGATCAATTTCTGACCATTGCCCTATCTTGCTAAAAAATGAAATGGTTGATTGGGGCCCCAAACCTTTTAAGGTGTTTGATGCTTGGTTTGAATCCCCTAATTTCAAGGAATGTGTAACTGAAGAATGGAGGGCAGCAAAGATTCACAAGAGGAAAGGCTTTATTTTAAAGGAAAAGCTTAAAAAGCTAAAGGCTTCTTTAAAGGTGAAGAGCAAGAACTTAGTGACAGAAACTGAAAACAAAATAAAAGTAGCGAAGGAGAATATTGAAAAGTTGGACTTAGTAAGGGAGTTTAGACAGTTGACAGAAAGTGAGAAGGACCAGAGGAAGAGTAGCACACTGGAGCTATGGAACAATCTCAAGGCAAAAGAGAGTATTTGGAGACAAAAAGTAAGAAGGCAGTGGATCAGAGATGGGGATGCCAACACTTGTTTTTTTCATAGATGTGCCAAAGGAAGGTGGAGAAGAAATGAGATTAACAACCTAATGGTGGATCGGAGACAGCTTGTGGAAGTTAATAAGATCAAGGAAGGAGTTGCTACATACTTTGAGAAGATGTTTATGGAGGAGGAATGGGTAAGACCCACATTGGAAGGCCTGAGATTTAGTCGATTATCAACAGCACAAAATGAGTTTTTGATATCAGAATTTGAGGAAAAGGAAGTTCAAAAGGCAATTTGGGAGTGTGATGGTACTAAGGCACCAAGTCCAGATGGCTTCAACTTTAACTTTATAAAGAGCATGTGGGAGGTACTAAAGGAAGACATCATGGCATTTGTCCAAGAATTTCATAACTCTGGTAGGATGAATAGAGGACTCAATAGTTCTTTTATGGTGCTTATTCCAAAGTTGGAGAACCCCCAGAGAATTGAGGAATTCAGACCAATTTCATTAATTCATTCAATGTACAAGATTATTGCCAAGCTATTGGCAAATAGATTAAGGCAAGTCATGGATCATCTAATTAGAGAACAACAAATGGCCTTTTTAAGTGATAGACAGCTATGTGAAGTAGTGGTGATCGCCAATGAGGTGTTGGATGAGGCAAAGAGAAAAAAGACAAGGTCTTTTGCATTTAAAGTAGACTTTGAAAAGGCATATGACAAGGTATCTTGGAGCTTCTTAGAATTTATGATGGAAAGTATGGGTTTTCACGTGAAGTGGAAGAGATGGATCATGGAGTGCCTTAGCTCATCCT